GGAGAAAAAATGGATGGTCTCAAATTCGAAGCGAACCGTCTCCACATATTTACACCAAACACCTGCCTGCCATGTGGAGATAATCGTCATCTCTCTCTCCGGGTCTCTAAACTCTGTTCACTATCTCTCACTAAACGATCAATATCTTGAAAAATCCCGATGACCTCGTCGCCGCCAAACAATCCGGTGGTCTCCGAAGTACAACCGCCAGAAACAGATGCTACAGAGACGACGACGGTGACTTCTTTATCGGCGGAAGCTGCGGAAGGTCCGGAGAAGAAAGTGAGGAAAGCTTACACGATTACCAAATCCAGAGAGAGTTGGACCGAAGGAGAGCACGATAAGTTTCTCGAAGCTCTTCAACTGTAAAAATCACTACCTCTATATGGTTTATTTACTGATTTTGTCTTCTTCGAGCTCCAATTTTAGCTCGAATTGCGTGATTTTCGATTCCTTAACGAAAGATTCATGAGAAGGATTTTGTATGTTAGAGTTAGTTGTGACCTAAACGATCTGTTAAGTTGGCCCTTCGGACAAAATTTAGTGAGATAAAAAGTTCCATCAGATCAAAGTTTGGTTATTGTAGATAATAAACATATGAAATTGGGATTTTGCAAAAGCATCAATGTCTTCTTTAATTCTTAGGTTGGATTGTATTGATTATTAAGTACAAGGTTTTGGTAAATGGTTCGTTGCTTCCAAATGTTACAGTGCTTTTATTTGTGTAAATGGCTTCTCTCTACTTTGTTGCTGATACTTCTTGTTCTGGCAATGTTCTTGGGTCCTTAGGTTTGATCGTGACTGGAAGAAAATAGAAGATTTCATTGGTTCGAAGACCGTTATTCAGGTTTGAGATTAGCTGATTTGGATTTTGGTTTAATACAATATATTGTCATGTTTCCTCGCTCAATCTTTGTGTGTCTGCTTGATTTAATCAGATCAGGAGCCATGCCCAAAAATACTTTTTAAAGGTCCAGAAAAACGGGACTTTAGCACATGTACCACCTCCTCGGCCTAAGCGCAAAGCTGCTCATCCATATCCTCAAAAGGCATCAAAGAATGGTTAGCTCTAATATAACAGAAATTACTTTGGGTGCGTAGGTGAAGTAACATGTATTTAATCTGAGTTCAACTCAATTTTGTAGCTCAAATGTCGCTTCATGTTTCCATGGCCTTTCCTACTCAAATTAATAATGTGCCTGGATATCCTTTATGGGATGGTACCCCTGCATTGCTAGACATTGCCGTAAGTGGGGTTATTCCACCAGAAGACGAACTTGATACTCTTTGTGGAGGAGAAGGCATGCGTTCTCATCTCTACTCACTTTTTGTATTGTGCTTTGGCAGTCGAGTTGCTCCATCTGACGAAGTTTCATATGCTAAATGCGGTTTACAATGTTATTGTTTCAGTTGTTTTTGGAACGAATTGTATAACAAGTGGGAGTAGTCCTTCGGCATCTGGTATAGGAAGCTCAAGCAGAACATTATCAGAGTCCAATGCTTTAAGACCACCGAATCAAGCTCCCTCAATGCACGGTAATTATCTAAACAACTGCAGGACTATTTCTGAGTTTTCATTTTAGTTTGGACACTATTCTGATGGTTGTTTTGCAGGTCTTCCTGATTTTGCTGAAGTTTATAACTTCATTGGGAGTGTCTTCGATCCTGACAGCAAAGGCCGCATGAAAAAGCTCAAGGAAATGGATCCTATAAATTTCGAAACTGTGAGTTAGAAACCTGCTTGCTTGCCTTTAGGTTAAATGATGCGTGACTGTGACAGTGGTATATGATATACCTATTCGTAGCTGTCAGTGATTGTTCTTGTTATAGTATCCTTCACTAATCGCACTATGTCTCGCAGGTTCTGCTATTGATGAGAAACCTCACAGTGAACTTGTCGAATCCCGACTTCGAACCTTCTGTAAGTGTTAAAGTTTGTCATAAATTCCATGCTCGTCGGGCTGTGAGACACGTCTTATCGTGTTTAGTACATAGAGAGAATCTCGTCCACCTAACAAATCTAGTGACTATGTGCCTTCAAGTTTGAATTGGGCTAAACTGTTAGAAATAAGTCTGTTACTCTCTTGCTGTGTGTTACTTCTTTAACCATTCCAGTGATCAAACGAGGACTGTTGTGCTTTTTGTGAGATATATGATACACACATCAACCGTTGACTTCTGGATTGGTTTCTTGCAAACAGATGTAATCTAACCTTGAAATAGTCTGAACACTTTGATGCTGCAGAGGAAGGTCCGGAACACTTAAGCTTGTAGCTGTTAGTGCGCGGGATCCTTGGTCAAGAACGCAACAAGTGTTATATCTTCTTGACGACTTCTTGCTCACAACAACTGTCATGTGTGGTTTTCTATTACTTCACTACCAGTCAGAATCGTTAGAAGCTTTTAATCTCAGTTCTCTGATCTCTCTACATCTGGTGGATCGTGTCAGATGCTTCTCACGGTTGTTATCTGAGGAGAACATAATTGAAGCGGCTCAAACAAGAGGAGTAGCAGTTTCGGTCCGAACCAGTTCGGTGTATGGTAGATATATATATATATTGTCAATGTGTGTGTGTAGAAAATGGTTACCAATTGTAATTTTTCTTTTTGAGATGTATTTGTTCATGCGTTTTGTAATTTGTAGTCTCTTTACCTCTTTCTACGATTGGAATTTTTTTGGGTCATCTATTGAAACCAAAGGCAAATGTAACAGCTAGCACAAGTGAGAAATACATCTCTGTTGTATTGTACAATTCCAAAATCCGGTTAATGATAACCATAAAATTGAAATCGTATTGGTTTGGTTCAACACGGTCTTTAGAACCTTCTGGTTTGCACTAAAGATAGAAGAAAGCTTTCTTCGTTTTATTTTGTTCTCTTCCGTTTTGCTCGAGATCCTCTCTAAATGCTTACTTCAATCTTAAATCGCCGGTTTTTCGATTGACAATTCGCCAGCGGCGAGGATGCTACAGCATCAGATAGTACAATCTCCGGCGAGATTAGGGTTAACTGGTCCTGGTTCACCCTCCGTACAAAATCCAACACCTTCTCGTCATGGTCATCCAACGTCTTCTTCATCTTCCCAATCTCAACACCAACAAATCCAACAACCTTCTAATCAACTCCCTTCCTCCACCGTCTTCGCCGTAACCTCAGCTTCAACGGCTATTTCATCCTCCGCTTTGTTATCGCTCCTTCCGCCATTACCACGAGCTCAAGCTCTTCTCCAACAGATGGCGATTTTATCGTCTAAGCTCTTCGATGTCTCTCCTAATCGCGCTCTTTGGCTCTCTGCTTTCCGTGGCTCTTTACCTTCGTTCCTCTCTTCGCATTCGTTACCACCGCCTCCGCCGCTTGAAAACCCTAATCCTACATCCACGAAGGAGATTCTCTCTCAATTCAATTCTCTCCAGACTCAGCTCTTCGAAGCTGTTACTGAGCTTCAAGAGATTCTCGATCTACAAGACGCGAAGCAGAAGATCGCTCGTGAGGTTAAATCCAAAGATTCATCTCTTCTCGCGTTCGCTAACAAGCTTAAGGAAGCAGAACGTGTTCTGGATATGCTGGTCGACGATTACTCCGATTATCGCAAGGCAAAGAGAGGGAAAACTGTACATGAGGAAGAAGAAGATAATGACATTGACTCTGGTACAACCACAGTTTCTTCTCAGCTCAAGCTAAAGGACATATTAGCTTACGCTCATAAGATTAGCTACACTACATTTGCTCCACCGGAATTCGGTGCAGGGCAAGCACCTCTCCGTGGTGCATTACCACCAGCTCCACAAGATGAACAAATGAGAGTTTCTCAGCTCTATACTTTCGCTGATCTCGATATCGGTTTACCGAAAACTGTTGAAAACATGGAGAAGAAGGTTGAAGCACTGATTGAGCCTCCAACACCACCACCAGACGCCATGAATCTTTCCGCAATTCAAAACCTTCTTCCGCCGAATATCGCTGTTCCTTCTGGATGGAAACCGGGAATGCCAGTGGAATTGCCTGAAGATTTGCCATTGCCACCTCCTGGATGGAAACCTGGAGACCCTGTTGTGTTACCGCCATTGGAGTCATTTCCTGCTCATAGAGCTGCCGAGCAGCAACAAATGCGGCCTCCTCCAGGACTTCATAGACCGCCTGACGTTATACAAGTCCGAGCTGTTCAGCTCGACATTTTGGAGGATGATGATAGCAGTGATTACAGCAGCGAAAATGCGAGCTCAGATGACGAGGAATAATCGTCATTATGAGTGATGATTCTTGTTATAAGGTAATGATTGACCAATGTTACTGCTGATTCTTGATCAAGTTTGAGTGACTAATGTGACTTGGTTTCATTTTATTTGGCAGTGTTTATGTGGATAGATTTCTAATATACGCTTTATCATTTCCAGTACCTTTGATATATCAGAATTGTTTCAAAACCTGGATTCTAATTCAGTTTACAGAGTTACTGGTTATGTTGTTTTCTAGATTCAGTCTTTTGCATCAGATTCAGTGTTTAACTTAGTGTTTGTACTAGTAAGTTTCAACTTTCAAGAAAGCATTTGATGCCTTTGGCTACAATTTTCGATTGTTATTGATCTTGTTTCAACAATTTCACAGACTTAAGTGCTATAGTTAAATTCAGAATGTTCAACTGTTATTGCAACTTGACATTCGAATCGATTTCTCCAAAGTGAAAATGCAACATACCAGAGTACATATTCTCAAAAACTATGTTAAGATGTATCGAATATATAACATTTTCTCATTTCAAATGTATTCAGACTAATGTCAGTCATTTTCCTCTTGAATTCAAAAACCAAAACATTGATAATAAATGTATCAAATATATTTGAACTAATTAAAAGCATACTATTGTTCAGTACTGTATGAAAAATATTCAATTTTGAAATCGCACGTAAAAATTAGAGGAAAAGCCGAAAAATGATGTAAAAATGAAATATAAATGAGTATTGTGTTCTATTTTATTTGGGCCTATGGGCTTTAAAGGCCCGCATATACTTCCCACACTGCACTATAAAATCTCTCAAGAAACCCTAATACCTAGATGTGCTTTTTAACCTAACGCACAGCCTCAAAATCCCGAAACTTCTCGCCTCAACCAAAAACAATGGCCTCCGCCGCCTCACGCCCTCTCGTCTCCGTCCAAGGACTCGACGGTGACATGTCCACAGATCAATCCACCACCATCTGTTTACCTGACGTCATGACTGCACCAGTGAGACCAGATCTCGTCAGTTTCGTTCACGCCCAAATCTCAAACAACAGCCGTCAACCATACGCCGTCTCGAAGAAAGCTGGTCATCAGACCTCCGCCGAGTCCTGGGGAACCGGAAGAGCCGTATCTCGTATCCCGCGTGTTCCCGGAGGTGGTACTCACCGTGCCGGTCAAGCTGCGTTCGGAAACATGTGTCGTGGTGGTCGTATGTTTGCTCCGACTAAGATCTGGAGACGCTGGCACCGTCGTGTTAATGTCAACATGAAGAGACACGCGATTGTTTCGGCGATTGCAGCTACTGCTGTTCCTTCTCTCGTGATGGCTCGTGGTCACAAGATTGAAAATGTTCCTGAAATGCCACTTGTTGTTAGTGATTCAGCTGAAGCTGTTGAGAAGACTTCCGCTGCGATTAAGGTTTTGAAGCAGATCGGTGCTTACGACGATGCGGAGAAGGCTAAGGACAGTATTGGAATCCGTCCTGGTAAAGGTAAAGCTAGGAATCGTCGTTACATTTCTAGGAAAGGTCCTCTTGTTGTGTATGGAACCGAAGGAGCTAAGATTGTGAAAGCGTTTAGGAATCTTCCTGGTGTTGAGCTTTGTCATGTAGAGAGGCTTAACTTGTTGAAACTAGCTCCTGGTGGTCACCTTGGTAGGTTTGTGATTTGGACTAAGTCTGCTTTTGAGAAGCTTGAGTCTATCTATGGATCGTTTGATAAGCCATCTGAGAAGAAGAAAGGTTACGTCTTGCCTCGTCCCAAGATGGTTAACGCTGATCTTGCTAGGATTATTAACTCTGATGAGGTTCAGAGCGTTGTGAAGCCGATTAAGAAGGATGCTAAGAGAGCTGTGCTTAAGAAGAACCCATTGAAGAACCTTAATGTCATGCTGAAGTTGAATCCTTATGCTAAGACTGCAAAGAGGATGTCTCTGTTGGCTGAAGCACAAAGGGTTAAGTCTAAGAAGGAGAAGCTCGAGAAGAAGAGGAAGATCGGCACTAAGGTAAACTCATTGTTCTCCTTTCTTTATATGTGCCATCAAAAGTTTCTGATTTGCTTTCTAACTCGAGAGTCCTTTGCATTTGGTGATATGACTTGTACAAATTCTAGGTCTTTTGATGGGGGTTTAAGTTTATTCAGTAATTTGCAATGCATGATACAAAATTGGTTTGATGTTTGGTATACAAAGCTTTCATTTCGAATAGAGGATTTCATTATTGCTAAGAAGTCATTCCTGTATTTATGAACTCATCTTTTGTTGAACTCGTATCCATTGCAAATCAGTTTGTGTTTAATGATGTGATTTGGTGTTGGAAATGTCTTTGGATTGATTGGTTTTGCTCTTGAACATTTCTTAGGTTCCTCTGTTCACGATTATAAGTTGCTTGTTTATATGCTTTCTTTGTTTTGACATAAATGTTATACTCAAACTGCATTTCCATTTTTCATCAACTGTGATTTAGTTTTGATCGACTCTTGAGTTTTACAATTTCGAAGTTGTATCATTTCTTTAACTGTTTTTGTATTCTTTTTTTCTCTAGGAGGAGGCACAAGCAATCAAAGCAGCAGGAAAGGCTTGGTACAAGACTATGATCTCTGACAGCGATTACACCGAGTTTGACAACTTCACCAAGTGGCTCGGTGCCAGTCAGTGATAAAATGGCTACATCATCGCAAATTCTATCATATTTAGGCAAAGATTTTGGTCCAGTGTTTTATGAACTTCATTTGTGTTGGATTAAGTTGGGTTTTACTGTCTTGAGGTGTGATGTTGTTGAGATGTTACGAGTTTTAAAGGATTCAGAACATGTTTTTCAACTCTTTTCAATGTTTTTGCCTTTTTAGTGTTTTTTACTTTCTATCAAATTATGAGAATTTAATAACGTATTTTTTATCACCATCACTACTAATGTTAGTGTGACCTGTCAAACCTAATTTCATACTCGAGAAAATAAGTAGACTGGACGTCACCGGAAATCGGCATCGTGTTTTTGTTTTCCGGTCTGAGAGATTTCATTGACCGGTTCAGATCGGAACTTTGTTAATTTTTGGGCCACATGGAGAAAAATCAATCTCAGCCCTTATGCCAGAACAGGCCCGGTCAGTCTGATACAAAAGATAGTTGATAATTATCTTTCTTGTACCTCAAGTTTTCTTGAAAATCCAGAGGATAAATAAAGAAGAAAATAGGATAATTTTTTTCTTTCTATTTTGTGCAAAGATCTTTTTTTTGTCAACAAAGGAAGATTTTCTTTGAATTAATTGGAGGTATTAATAAATTAGCTCTAGAAAAAGTGTAATCACAACTTTAATTAATTGGAGATATTAACTCTAGGAAACGTGTAATCGGATAATCACAACTTTCCGTATAATTTCAGTTTTTGTAAGATAACAACTTTCTCCACTTTCCCTGTAAATTACAAGGAAAAAATCTTGTGGAAGATTTTGTGTAAATATGGGAATTTTCAATAATATATATATATATTTTTTTTACACTTTACTTTTTTGTTTGTTTTAAAATTGTTAAAATCATTTATAAACTGGTTGATAAACATTTCTTTTTTACTTCTGAACCAATTATTATACTTTTGTTACCAAATGTGTAATTTTGAATAATTAAATATCATGAAAATCGGGTTAACAAGAAACTTTTTAATTTGCCAAAAAAAGAGAGAAGAAAATGGTATTTTAATTTGTATGAGATATATACTCTTGGTATTTTATTTTAATTTAAGAAGATATACTCTTGATTCGTATACTAGAAAATCCCATAGTATAACTACTTTAGTTTTTTTTTTGGCAAAAATAATTACTTTGTTTAATTAGTTTTTTTTTGTTTTTTATCGACTTGGCGTGTCTATACGAAACCCTAAAGTAAACGACTTAATAATAATAATGCATTAACTTTGTTACTTTAATACTAACAAAATTTAATTTTCAATGACCAAATAAAAAGCAAAAGATAGGCAGCTAATGAAAAATCAATCCCATAAACATGGATTAACTTGTCAAAAAGGGAAGTAAAGTTTTTAATTAATTGTACGGTTTAAAACTATAATCACGACACGTGGCACAAGCAACTACTTGAGGCGGTGCTAAATACCCTGGTCCCAAAATTGGAAAATAAACGGCATATAAAAATTCACAACCCTTCGATCTTTTTCCATCCAATCAAAACCGTCCGATCTAATAAAATCTTCCGTAGATCCCGTGTGCGGAATACGCACAGGATAATTTCTTGAAATATTTACAAGTCTCTCTAAATTAACAACCATCGTCTAAATAAGCAAAGAAAGTATATACATAGATATTGCTGTATCTATGTTGATCCTTCTTTCTGGAGATTATTATATAAAACCCTAGATTCTCATCTTTTTAACCTTCAATCTCATAAGAGATTTTTAAGGTTTTTCGATCAAAAAGGCGCTTGATTTCTGTCTTCATAGAGAGATTTGGGTCAATTTTGTGAGACTTGTAAAGGTGTGATTACAAG